AGTGCTTGTTTGGACATGATAAAAAAAAAATAATTTTTAAAAGAAATATTGGCATTGAGTAGTGAACAACAATTACTGTGTTTCTGTGTGTTAATGGGCCTTAAAATGAAATGCAAACTTCACCGTTCAGTGCATGTTCAGCAATATTTCACTGTACTTACTGTATGTCATTTTAATGTTGCATGTAACTGTTAAGAAAATATCGTCTTGGACCATTAAGCAAAGACATAATTTATATTCAAGAATATCATGAGAGAAGCAGCAAAATCTGTATATGAATCTAAAGTTTTTTTTTGTATGTTTATTGTGCGTGTGTGGCGAATATGCCCTTTCCCCTCATTTACCTACATTTGTGTGACATGCTTTAATCGTGCATAATGGAAAAACAAATTGGTTTGGCACAGCTCAGGGCATTACACTAACATTTGCTTACGAACATTCTTGCCCTTAGGGCCACAGTCAATTTCAGGACTTTTTTTTTTTCCTTCCGTTTTTAAAGCCTGCACTGCGTATGTGTGATTTTTGCACACGTACTGAAAATTTTAAATGAGTAGGACTGTTATTATTCATTAACATACTGTAAGTGAGTTCATAAATATTCAAATGTGTTCAAAAATGTGGATGTTGTAATAAGCATGAGTGTTAAATTTTAATTCCAGTGACGGTAAACAAAAAGCATTTCACTGTATAGAACATGCAAACTAGGGAAATGAAACAGAAATGATCTTAAATGATTATTTTGATTTCTTTTAACATTTTTAAAATAATAATATGTAATTTAACATTTATAATGTTTTGTCCACAAAATTAACATTAGCATTGAAATGTATATTGCATTTAAAAACTGCAGTGGAAATAGTAACTTTTAGGGCTCTATTTTGACGATCCATGCGCAGAGCACAAAACGCAGGGTGCAAACGCTTTCAGGGCGTGTCAGAACGCATTTTTGCTAATTTACGGATGGGAAAATCTGCTTTGCGCCAAGGTGCATGGGCCATAAGGGTTGAGTTTATTTTCTTAATGAGTTATAGGTGTGTTTTGAGAATAAACCAATTAGAGTCTCTTCTCCCATTCCCTTTAAGACCCAGCTGCGTCGCGCCAAGAGCGCATTCACTATTTACAGGACGTAAAGTAAGTCTAAGTGGAAAAAATTAGCATTTTACTAGCAAACAGTTAACAGTTGACAGTTTTTTTTAACAGAAAACTGTTAAACAGAGCATCTACTGCGTGAGAATGAGAGATAATGGATCTACTTTCACTTTCGCTCTTGGATAGGGAAACCTTTACGCACAGACATCAATTAGTCTATAAATAAATAATTTTGTTTGTTAAGCGCAAAGATTTGTTTTAAAACTATTTCTAAATTCAGTTCTAATTTCTAGCAAACAAATACATGAACAATAATGACCAAGTGTGGTCAAAATACTGAGTTATTTCCAAATGCCATGCCCCATATGGTCTTAAACCTGACAGGTGGACAAATCTAAGCTTGTTTTCAATAAAAAAATATAAATGTGGATATAATAAATAATACTGCTAATAATAATATTATTTTACAAAAGCAAATTGTTATGAATGAACTGAAAAAGCCTCCCGAGATGAAGAAGACATAAAAGCAGTGATTTGTCATATTTATGAAGGCTAGAAAATAATGTTTTGTAATATTTCAATCCTTTATATTTATATTCTATATCTATTCTTATTATATCCTATATGTATCCTTAATATTTAAATTTGTTCATATGTAAAGATATTCGCCTATTGCTCTCTTGTGCGTATTAAGCAGTGCGTAAGCGAGGCGCAACTCTGCGGCGGAGTTTAGATCGGGTTAGTTTTGGTCTAATGAAAAGTCTATTATAGTTTCTTAAAATAGCAACGCGCCAGCGGTCCGCCTCAGAACGCCTTCCTTTTTAGACCAGAACGCCTATGGGAGCACAAATGAGCGCTAATGCATTTGCTATTTAAACAGCGTAGCGCAACGCCTCAAAACGACTCTTGCGCCAAGCTGAAAGTACTGAAAGACTATTGCGCCACACTGCGCCGGGTGTATGATAGGGCCCTTAGAGTCTGAATATCAAGGTTAACTGCATTTAATTTGTGTACTGGAATGAGGCCAAGTATTTTCTGTTATTTTCGAAGGGCAGTGCTAAATAAAGGGGAAAAAAAGATATTTCAACAAAACAATGGATGTCTTCATCCTGTTTAAAAATGTTCATTCCCCAAGGTCTGATGAAAATGAAGATGTTTCCTTCTGGAGCATCACTCAGGGTGTGAATCTTTCTTTACAGTTATGTTTGAGTCCCTCAATCATCCTCAGTGTGAAAAGTTTTCAATCATACAGACTGCTGAAAGGGGTTTAAATCTGCAGAGTATGCAGTAAAACTGAAGAATCTGCAGGAGATTGAGGATTTTTCTGAAATCAGCAGTCAGTTTAACCATTCAGAACAAACAAGAGACTCATAAACAACCATCCGGAGCAGAAAAAGCACTCGTAGATCATCAGAAAACCACACACAGTATTGAAAACCAAGGGGATGAGGGGGTTATTTTAATCATTTCAGCTAGATTTTTGTGTAGTAGACTATATGTAGACATATTTTATGTAAAATATCTTACTCAGGACAGAACTAAATAAAAAAATAACATGCATTTTTGTATGATCTCTCTGATTTTGTTTAAATTATTCACATTTTAACAAATTCTTCAATGGGTATGTACAATTTTGAGCACAACTGTATACACACGTGTAGTGTTAGACTCACAATCTACATCACGCATGAAATGCAGCGTCTCACAGGGTTATTTTACCAATTGCGATGCTATTATATGTCAGCACGTTTTGACCAGGTGTCAGATGCCCACGGATGCATTTTCACATTGGCACACAGCAATTTTCACACACAAATACCAGCACAGAGGTCTGTAGTGCCAGAGGCATAAAAAAATAAATAAAAAGATATGATGACACTGTTAGCAACACTCCAGAGGTGTTTGCACACGTTTCCCATTCTGCCCTGAAATATGAGACCTTCACCTCAATTTCTGTTATTAGGAATTCAGCACCACAGTCTACCAAATATCCTCTCAGAATGCAAAACAATCATTCAATAATTACACTGGCACGCACAGAATTCTTTGCCATCCAATTGCATCACAAAAAAAACATCCCCATAAATACACCTCCAAATTAAACCGTTAGCCGCACTTATTTCCTCCAGGCCAGAGCTATTGTGGCTAATTTACTGTCTTAATGATATAAATATCTAACAAGGTCTGTTTTGTAGAATTAGGCTTTAAAAATAAAGTGGAGAGTGGCGTTCTTTTAGAGCCGTGATTACGTGTCATTACGCAGCAGTAATTTATGTTGGTAATTGGCGTAGACAGGGGCCCTTGTGGAGCGGGGATGTGCTGCCGGGATAGTAACAGCTGGTCAGGAGACGTGGCGTTTCTTTTCTTGACTGAAGTTCACTTGTCAGCCTTTAGTTGGAACCGTGCCGGTGAAAGTCAGTAAAGATGCCGCTAATCTCAAGAGGGAAAGTGTGGCCGCTTTGTGAAATAAGGCCATGAAATCAACTTGGCAACCATGTAAGATGTGTGATTAATGATGTTTGAGTAAACTCCACACTCAAATTAATCATTAGTTCAGTAACGCACTACTGTAAATAAAAAGCCGGATGTGGAACTGAAAATTAAGTTAAACTGGGATTAACAAACGAATGTATTAGTTTATACGTTTTTTTTTTTTTATATAACCTTAAAAAGAAGGCAGAACTAGATAAATGCTGCTTATTATATTATATTATATTATATTATATTATATTATATTATATTATATTATATTATATTATATTATATTATATTATATTATATTATATTATATTATATTAAATTATATTGTATTGTATTGTATTGTATTGTATTGTATTGTATTATATTACATTATATTGTATTGTATTATATTGTATTGTATTATGTTATGTTAAGTTATGTTATGTTACGTTATATTATATTATATTATATTATATTACTATATATTATATTACTATATATTATATTATATTATATATTATTTTTATTATATTATATTGTATTTTATACTGTTATATCATATTATATTACATTATATTACTTTATATTATTTTTATTATATTATATTATATTTATTTTAATATATTATATTATTTTATTTTATTATATTCTATTATATTCTATTATATTATGTTATATTATATTTATTTTAATATATTATAATATATTATATTACATTATATTAATTTATATAATTTTATTATATTAGATTATATTAGATTAGATTAGATTAGATTTATTTTAATATATTATATTATATTATATTATATTATATTATATTATATTATATTATATTATATTAATTAATAATATTTTATTATTTTCTATTATTTTATTATACTTTATTATATTACATTATATTAATTTATATAATTTTTCTTATATTATATTATATTATTTCATTTTTCTTATATTATATTATATATTATTATTATATTATATGTAGTATATTATATATTTTTTATTAATTTATATTATTTTTATTACATTATATTTTTTTTTCTTCTTATGTTATTATATTATATTATAAGTTATCATTTGCCTCTATTTGCACATTTGCTGTGACTTTGTATGTAATTTGCTTCTGTGAATTCTTAATTCTGTGTTTGTTGTGAACGCAGCATTAGACTGTGAAATAACTGAAATCATTCAGCGTAGCGATATGGAACTTTACTGTGGTGAAAACCAGCCTGGAACTGCTTTGGCTTTATGTTTGTATTGCGAAAATATTTGAACACCTTTGAAAGAAGGTACGATGTATTCATATAGCACCTTTTACAGAAGTTATAAGGGCTTTACAATAAAAGAAAATGTCAATCAAAATAGAACGGTCATTAGCCAATCAGAGTCAAGCATTCAACAGCCCTTAGAACAAATAAGCACAATCTCTTTCTCTCTTTCTTTTCCTTTAGTGGGGTCGGCAGAAACTGGCCATGGGCATCAGGAGGAAGCAGCATTCTGGCCGAATACGGGACGCTGCATTTGGAGTTCATGCACCTCAGCGCACTTTCCGGGAGACCGGTCTTTGCAGAGAAGGTAAGCATCAGTTCAGCCGTTACGCCTCTGCACTGCAATAAACACCCACACTGAACTGAATGTGAATGTTGAAGCGGTCATGACTGTTAGAAGAGATGACCCAACAGTGACCCAGAATGACCCACACTCACAACCGTTACGGTGATGCTTGATTCGCTGCGATCCTCAGATCTGATTCTGGCCAAATAAATCCGCTGACCTGACCTGCAATATAGACACAGACAAATGACACTATTACAAGCTCTGAATGAGGCTGTACAAACTGTGAAAGTGACCTAGTCCTGAGATTTATGAGTGCTGTCCCCTGTAGGAAGACACTGGACCCTTCAGAAAGGCTGTTTACTGGACTCTTAAGTGGATGAGCCTTGGTTATAGCTTATTGATTTGATCATATAAGCAATGCATGAATCAGAAAAGTGGTAATGTTAAGTGGTAATGAGTTTATGATCTAGTTCTAATTGGGTTTTAAATTGTAATAGTTTTATTGGTATAACTGTATTGTAAGGTACAATTAACTATAACTTTTGCTTTAATAAACTCTTAATTAGCTGCTTATTAATAGTTTTTAGTAATTAGGGGTTGGTAATACTGTAGGATTATGGGCGTAAATTGGATAATGCAGAATATGTACTTCATAAGAGCTAATAAACAGACAATATCCTGTCATTTAATTCCAACACCAAAAAATTGTCCCTATGATACATAAAATAGGATCATATTTTGGTTTTAGGGGTCTCCAACAACAGTCTAGGGCGAGGCAGTGGCGCAGTAGGTAGTGCGTTCGTCTCAGAGCCACAAGGTCGCTGGTTCGAGGCTCGGCTCAGTTGGCGTTTCTGTGTGGAGTTTGCATGTTCTCCCTGCCTTCGCGTGGGTTTCCTCCACAGTTTCCCCCACAGTCCAAAGACATGCGGTACAGGTGAATTGGGTAGGCTAAATTGTCCGTAGTGTATGTGTGTGTATGAATGTGTGTGGATGTTTCCCAGAGAAACATCGGGTTGTGGCTGGAAGGGCATCCGCTGCGTAAAAACTTGCTGGATAAGTTGGCGGTTCATTCCGCTGTGGCGACCCCGAATTAATAAAGGGACTAAGCCGACATGAAAATGAATGAATAAACAACAGTCTAATATGCATGCAAGGTCAAAAAAACACTCGTATAATCTGCATTTATTTTTACCTAATTATCCCAGAGACTCCCATATGAATTATTCAGTGATTCATTTGTTCCCAAACCCCTCCTTAGCGCGAAGCTAATCTGCGCTGATTGGACCGATGACAGCCTGTTGCTATTGGTCCACACTGACAGCCTTCAGCACGAGACAGAGTGAAATGCCCAGCAGCTAATCAACAATATAGAAGTAGTCACAGTGCATACACGCTTCGTAATGTAAGGCGTGATTTTGGCTGCCAGTGGGTGAATGTAAATACAGACGATGGACTTGATAATGCTGACAATTAACCATTTTATTGAGCAAAAACTCCAAGAACTGGCGAGGAGATCAACACGTGTCACACACACACACACACACACACACACACACACACACACATTACGCTCCTCCTCAAAAGAACTGGAAGAAGAACTTAGGATGACCATAGCAACGACAAACGGCAGTGGACCGCGAGCTCACAAACGCATTTAACGTTAAATCCGTAAACAAACCGGCACTTGTCGCATTTTCAACGTGACAATTCAATTTTTTTTATGGACAAAACTATTTCAGGCATATGGTACTTCACAATATTACATCTTCTCCAGGAGTGTTCTGCAACAGGAAGTCATTTCTGTATGAAATGTCATTTTAAATGAATTTTTATTTAAACTATCCTTTAAAAGAAAATAGTACTGAAAAATTAAAAACAAATCATTCTTTAACCCTTGCATCATTTTCACATTGCTTTTTTGATTATCCAAAATGGATAAAAAAAAAGCTAAATGTAATAATAATAAAAATAATTACATAAACAATGTAATAATAAAATAATAATTATTATTATTTTATGTGATGTGCTAATGTAAGTTATATGCACTCTTCCATTGCAGGTAATGAACATCAGAAAAGTGCTGACTCGGCTGGACAAACCTCAAGGGTTGTACCCCAATTATCTGAACCCTAACAGTGGACAATGGGGCCAGCGTAAGTCGAGACATGCATGCATGCAAACTGTATAAGCTGAAATGTTGTAATATGCTCAAAAAGTTGACCATTTTCCCTGAAATGTCATGATTGTAGCGAGTGTCTTTGACCATAATTTCTCCAGCAGAGTGGAATTGATTTGGAAGTGTTTCTCTTATAGATAGAGTGCTGATTTGTACACAAAACAGTCCTGTGGCAACACTCAACAGCATATTGAAGTGAATATTTGTAGTGGATTGACAGAGAGTAAACTTTGGGGGGTGATATGTGTTTGCTGTTTGATCTTTTGTAGTTGAATTTAGCTGGAAGGCCTCCTGAAGCACGGTGTAAAAAGCAGACACACTCACGCTGTTGTTTTGTTGTGAATGTCCTGATGGTCTCTGCTGCAGTTTGGACCCATGATAAGAGAATGATAGATTTGTTTTTCCAACGCATTTTTAAAGATAATAGTTTTAATAACTAATTTTTAATAATATTTTTTTTGTTCATTATGGTAGTACATAATATTTTACTAGTTAGTTTTCAAGCATATTATTATTAAACGTTATTTAATTTAATTGGGTTAATTAGGATAGCTAGTGAAGATTAATTAGGCAAGTCAATGGACAACAGTGGGTTGTTCTGTGGCCAATCAGAAAAAAATTGATATAAAGATGGGCTAATAATATTGACCTTAAGTAAAATTAAATAAATAAATAAAATAGTTTTTATTCCAGATAAACTAAAAGAAAATAAGACTTTCTCCAGAAGGAAACAAAGATTAAAAAAATAAATAAAATAAGATGGGCTAATAATATTGACCTAAAAATATTTAAAAAAATAAATTAATTAAATTATTAAATTAAGTTTAAATTATTTTTAAATTTAAATAAAATAATTTACACAAATAAACTAAAATAAATACGAGTTTCTCCAGAAGAAAACAAATATTTGATTAAATAAAATAAAATAGGCTAATAATATTATTCTTTACATTAAATTCAATTATTCAATTAATTTTAAATTAAATTAATATGTAAATATATTTTAAAAAATAAATAATAAATAAATAAATAGATTTTATTACGAATAAACTAAAATAAGATGGGCTAATAATATTGACCCAAAATTAAATTAAATTATTGAAATCAAATTTTAATCTAATTAAATTAATACATAAATATATTAAAAATGTAAATAATAAATGCATAAATAAATTTGTTTTTATTCCAGATAAACTAAAATAAATAAGACTTTCTCCTGAAGAGAACAGATATTTGATAAAATATAATAGACTAATATTGACCTTAAAATTGTTTTTATTCCAGATAAAAGAAATTAGACTTTCTCCAGAAGAAAACAAATATTTTATTAAATAAAATAAATTAAAATGGGCTAATAATTTTGACCTAATTAAATTAAATTTAATTTAAATATTTAAAAATATTATTGAAATAAATTGCTTTTATTACAGATAAACTGAAAGAAATTAAACTTTTTGCAGAAGAAAACACATATAGTATTATTTATTACTGTGTAAATTCCCTTTCTCTGTTAAAAATCTTTTTCAAAATATTTGAAAAGTTTTAAGCATTCCGCAAAAGGGCTAATTGTTTAGCATTCAAATGTATAAGCTTAATGTTCTTTTATATTTTTGTATTAAATAATGTATATGATTTAATTTGAATAACGCATGTTGTTCAAATGACATCATGTATGCATTATTTAATAAATATTCTTGTTTTTATTTGTAATTATTTACACTGTTAAATATGTTCAACATAACTATAATATGTCTAATTTAATTAGTTCATACATTAATTCCTTCTTTCTGTATACATCGTTTTGTTTATCTGCATAAAGATTGACAGATTATAATTAAGCCAAAAAGTAGTAGTTTAGTACTATACCGTACATATAAGTATGGGCAATTGACTCCAACTTATAACAAACTATAGTTTTATTTTAACAGTGCATATAAATCTGAAGATAAAGTCCCTCAGGGCAAAGCAGAACATTGTTCTCGTGAATTTCACAACTAATACCCTCAAATGTCTTTCAAAACTTTTAAAACCCATGATCCTCTCAAACTTTAGCAAAACCATTGAAAGGCTCCTCCTGTAGGAGCCTTCGAACTTTTAAGCATGCCAGCAGGCTGATAGAAACTTTGCGTTCCCATTTGGAAGTGCCGATTTCAGCTTGTTTTTGACATTTTTTATATAATCTGGATCAGAGAGTCCTTTGGCTTGTCATTAGAGACTGAAGCTAGACAGCCAGCGACCCTGAATTACCACTTCTCCTCTTCATCATGCCTTCAGATTTAATTATGTAACACAGCCCGAACTATACTCTTTCTTTTCCTTGTCTTCATCCACTAGACAACGCATATGTCAATAGTTTGGCATGTTTTATGCTGGTCTCGAAGGCAGCTGAAGTAGTGACTTCAGTGAAGCCCGTTTTTGTTTTTTTAGCCGGCTTTTGTGCTGTTCTCACTTTGGGGGATTTATTGGCGGCTTTAGCTCTGTCTCAACTTCATGGTCAACAATGACGCAGATGGAGAGCAAAAATACTGCAGTGTTTGTAGTCGGAATAACTAATTCATTTCAAGTTTGCTTGTATAGCGCTTTCTTGTGACGCGTCATTTCAAAGCAGCTGTACAGCAATAAATCATTAGTCTACTTCACAATTAAGGGGGTAGTTCACCCAAAAATGAAGTTCCTTCACCATTTATTCTTGCTCAGGTTGTTGTAAATGTTTATAAATATCTTTAAAAATAAAGGGGGTTGTAACGTTTAATGGGGGCTCGTCCGGGATCCTAAAAAGATTCTCAAAGTACACAATTCAAGATAATTTGAAAAAATCCAAAAACAAACTGACACAATAAGATATTCAATTCAATAGAATATCAGTGAGTATATCAACATTATGATAGTGGACTCTATTTTAATGATCCAGGCGCAGAGTCTAAATCTCATGGCGCAAAAGCATCAAGAGTGTGCCTGAATCTGGACGGAAAAATATGGCTTGTGCCACGGCGCATGGTCAAACAGGGTTGTGCCTATTCTCCTAATGAGTTATGGGTGTGTTTTGAGCATAGTGTGCATTAAATCAATCAGAGTCTCACCTCCCATTCCCTTTAAGAGTCAGTTGCTTTGCACAGTTGCGCAATTGCTGTTTACATGGCGGCTTTGTAAGTGGAAAAACTGAACGCTTCACTAGTGAGAAAACAGTTAAACAGACCATCTGCAGCGAGAATAAAGAATGAGCATCCTACATTTGGCCTCTTTACTTTCTCTTTACTTCTTTACTTTCGTGGACAAGGAAACGCTGTTGTATGCACTCCACTGAAGATGTCCATTAGATTACATATTCAATTTACTTTGCTAAGCACAAGATTTATGAAGTTCCCTCACCATTTATTTATGCTTAAGTTGTTGTAAATGTTTATAAATGTCTTTGAAAACAAAGGCCTTTTAGCATTTATTGGGGGCTCGTCCGGGATCCTAAAAAGATCCTCAAAGGAAACTATTCAAGATCATTCAAAAAGGTCTAAAAACGAACTAAAAAGTGGTGTGGTTATTTTTTACTATTGTGTTGGTGGCAAACAAAAGTCATTTGTTTATTTGTATGTATTGTTCAGCATAGTATTGGCTTAGTATTTCAGGATTGCTAGTGTAGTTTTTTTTTTTTTGCTTTGTGGTTTCATTATGGAAGCCTTTAGTTTGTGTTGTTGCCTACCCCTTAGAAGAGATGCTAAATTAGTGCAGGAAGCAGGATTTATTGCCAATCGCAGACCATTTTCAAGTTTCTGTTGGTAAGCAAACACTTAAGAAAGAATTAAAGGAAAGTTGATCTTACGATTACGTGAGTTAAATGTGTTGCCTACATCAAACACCAAAAACAAAGGATGATATTATGAAGAATGTTGAGGGAAAAACTAGCCATTGACATCCATCAATAATAATAATAACTAAATATTGACAGCATTTTAATGTTTGGGTGAACTATCCCTTTATGAGTACTGTGGGTCTCAAAGGTTCTATTAAATGCGTTAATTTGAGATTTAATCATGATACAATAGGATATCAATACACTTAGTCATATGATATTATGTTGATACTCAGGGCCGGCACCTCCATAGAGGCGACTTAGGCGGTATATGGAATAGTGAAGGTGGCGTCTGCAACCTTCACCAACAACCCTGTTGATACTTAAAAAAAAAATTGAATATGAATTTCATTCAGTCAAATATCAATGGGTCAATCAATATTAAGATACTATGTCCCCTATTTACAGAACCATTTATAAACTCACAATTTCATAAAAATTAATATTAAATGGAACTTATTATTGAACAGAATAATTCTCTATCATCCACAACAACAAAAAAATGCACTTTTGTATTTTTTTTTTTTAAGGCTGAGCAAATAAACGCTTTATCACATTAACATGTTAATTAATTAACAGCAAAAATAATTTACGTTTTTTTTTTTTTGTTGTTGTTTTTTAATAGGGTGTTAATGAAGTTTTATTATCATTTAATTGTTTTTAAAATTTCATTTCTCACTGGCTCTGAAAACACACACAGGGGTGGGATGTTGAACTATACTTGCTTGGGATGGGTTTCATCATGTTGAATTTAGCATAAAAATGAAACTGTGATATAATTTTTTTTTTTTTAAAGAAGGGAACTAGATTATTTGCAAGGTTTGAAACAAAATACATCACTTTGATTTTTTTTTTTTTTTTGTAAACTATCCCTAGTTCACGCAAAAATGAGAATTCTGTTCCAAACCAGTTTAAGTGTTTATATACACAAAAGAAGACATGTTGTTAAATGTAGGAAAACCAAAAACCATTGGCTTTTATATTTGTTTTCTCTATGCATGTCAGCGGTTAATCATTTTGAACATTATTAATATATCTTCTTTTGTGTTTTCAATAAAAAAATTTGCCTAAACTATCCCTTTAAGTACACAGCTAAGCCATACTTTAAGTAGCAGTTTGATAATCAATCCAGT